GTTTTCTCAAGGAAAGGTGATAAAATCACCCTCATCTTAAGTATATTTAATTTTGAAAAACTGTGGAAATTCAGAATAAATCTATGATTTATTAATTTACATTCTTTGTTTATAAGTAGGCTTTCGAGACTCCCAGTAGATCATATATATGAGATGTATTCATCCTATTTAGTTTAGGGTGAAGTAGGGACTGGTAGTTAAATTTTTTGACAATGATCTATGTAGACATGACAAATTTTCTTCATCGACAATCCTACCTCAGTATGCGGTAAGAGAAAATTCCAGGCCTTCCTCGAAATTCAAATCTGCACCGTGACTAAAGAGCACTCTTGGCGTACTACTTAACGTGTCGAGATCATGCGCTACAGTGTCATGGTTCTAGTCGCGATAAACGTATTTACAGGACCTAGGTAGATCGAAACTGCAATCCACCATGCACGAGAATACCTTGTTGAAAATCTATGGGAAATTCAATGTGAACATCACGTTATGTCATTGTGAAAAAATTTAACCACCTGTCTCCTTATCACTCTTAACGGAATATGATGAGCATATCCCATTTTTATTAATTTCCATTAAGGTGGATTAATCTAGCCAATCATGAAATTCTTTGGCTTTTTGTTAAAATCTCATGATAAATTTTTAAAGCTAAGTCTAAAATTTTATCAAAAATTATAAATCATACTATGCTGGATATGATATTTTGGACCAAGATTTGATAGGATATCAGAGTTCTTCAATGCATATTAAGTGTAGAATAACTAATCGTACCAAATTTTGAAATTTATTTTTTTTAGCCTTGTTGATATCCTTTGTTATTTATCAAAATATTTTATTTTAGAATTATTTGTGATTGATCCCTCATTATCTTCTTCGATATTCAAATTGTTTTTTCTACATCTAGCCATTCATTAAGTTAAGGATATGAGCAAACATCTTTGCTCTTCTCAATATAACTTATGTAAATTATATTCTGTACTGCTTCTCTTACTCTACGTTAGAATAGGCGAGTGCATTCAATTGAAGGCGAGGATTGTGTTTTAATTGTGACTTTGGATTTGTGCTAAGAAATTCTGGGCACAGTGTTCCGCAATATATTTTCTTGTCCTAGTGCTTGGTGAATCTTCGTAGTGCATGTGGTAGGGTCTAATAATCTTTGTCACAAGACAGACGAATGCCGAACTTGGATCCCTAGGAGTAGCGAGTAAGTGAGCCGAGAACATATACGCACAATACTACAGTCACGATTGCAAGGCTTTCTTTCTTCGATTTCGAGTTAGGCTTCCTTCCAGTCGTGTCTTCAGATCTTATAAAAGGTACTTCAAAGTCATTCGATTAAGGGGTTCTTTAGAACGTAGCTTCCCTTTGTATGTAAAAAATATTTTTTCCTATGCTACTGATGATAAATTTTTTGCCCTTATACTCTCAGATATATATTCTTCATTCCGACAAATAAATGTTTATTCTAGTGAATAAAGCACTTAAGAATATGTAAATTCTTATTAAAGATCCAGCGGATAATTCAATTAATGAATTGACTCTAAACTAATTAATATCATGAATTCTTAGTTGATACCTGTCATTTTTCATGAATAATTATTTCAATGACTTATTGATCTGACCCATTGATTATGCCGTTTCAATTATCAAAATCTGCTAGGCATTATATTCCGAAAACAATAATATAGTTTCTTACCCTACGTT